TTTCTTTGGTTTGATAAAGTTTCTTTTTCCAGTTTTTTTTCTAGTGGCTTGAAAGTTATATACTCAATTTTTATTCTAGTGGTTACTCTTATTATATTTTAACTCACTTAAATGTATATTTTTATATAGCCATGTAGAATAAATCAGTACCCATATGAGGCATTCTCATACAGTGGTTAAGAATGGAGCCTCTGAAGCCAGACTGTCTGGATTCAAATTCTGGCTTTGCCACTTATTAGCTATGTAATGTAGAGCTTATTACATAACCTCTCTGTGCCTCAGTTGCCTCATCTGTAAAATGGGGATAAAATAGCATATAACTCATAAGATTGCTGTGAGGATTATTAGTACATTAATATATAATTAGTGTGTAAACTTCTTAGGATTTCTGAGTGCCTAGCACATAGATTTTTCTAATAACCAGTTTTTTCATCTATGAAATGGGCATAATACCTGCCTATGTGCAATGAATTATTATATATATACAGTTCAGTTTAATACAGAGCCCCTTCTATGCACTTGAATGAGACATGGATTTTGGCTTTGAGGAGTTTATGATCTATTCAAGGGCACAGACATGTAAACACAATTGCAGTGTTATGCAACCTTAATACTCTTTCCACGTCCTTTCTTGGCCCTTTCTTATCTGTGCTCCTCACAGAACAATTTTTTAGAACACCTTGATCAGAACACATTGGCCTGACAAAGTCATAGCAGCTTTCATTACACTTCACATAAACCACAAACTCCTTGCCGCAACTTTAACACTAGATCCTGGGCCCTGCCTTCTCTAACCGCATCAAGTGCCACTCTCCTCTTCTCATGGACTCTCACTACACTGGCCTCTTTTCAGTTCCTAAAGCAATGCTTTTACAGTCGTGCACTGCTTAACGACCAGGACACATTCTGAGAAATGCGCCATTAGGCAGTTTCATCACTGGGCGAACATCACAGAGTGTGCTTACACGAACCGAGGTGGCCTCGCCTACTCCTCAACCAGGCTATGCGGGAGAGCCCATTCCTCCTGGACTACAAGCCTTTATTGCACAAAACAACAGGATATGAAGTCAAGCACAAGAAAAATGATGCAATCAAGATGCAGTAAACACGGGATGAATGAGGCTGCTGCCGGTGCAACATGGCATACTGCTCTGCGGCAAGCTTTTCTTCTGTAAGTAGATAGAGAATACTCTAAAATAAAAGTAAGAAGTGTAGGTAGCAAGTACATAAACCAGCAAGTCATTATCATTATCAAGTGTAATGCATTGCTCCTAACTGTATGTGCTATACTTTTCTACAACTAGCAGCACAGTAGGTTTGTATGCACTAGCGTCACCACAAACACACGAGCCATGTGTTGTGCTATGACTTTAGGACATCGCTAGGTGATGGGAATTTGTAAGCTCCATTATGATCTTATGGGCCCACTGTCATACATGAGGTCTACGGTTGACCGAAGTGTCATTATGTGGCGCGTGACTGTGTTCCTCAGTGCCCTCTGCCCAAAACGCTCACTCCACCTGCTCTCCCCATGGCTGACTCATCTTTCAGGTCTCAGCTTGATTCAGTTGGGTTCTTAGTTACAAACAACAGGATCTTCTCTGCCTGGGAAAGGACGGCATGGATTTATGGAGCCCACAGAATGTCCAGGAAGACCAGAGGCCAGCTGTGGGTGCGACACAACCAGCGCTCTAGTGAAAACCCACTGCTGCCACTGCCACTAGACACTAAACCTGTGACTTCCACACACACGGGCCACGAAATACGGCCTGGGTGCCAGAGCTCTGTCTTGGGTACCCTCACCCCTCCATCGCTGAGGAGTCAGAGTTTGGTGCATTTCCTTTCATCTTGCAAGTCTTTCTCGCAAAAAACGTTCAATCTTTCCAACTTCGTCTTTCAAGTTGAAGCTTGGAACGGCTTATGCCTGGCTGGAGGGCCTCGGTCACATGCCTGTGCTACAAAGGCGATCAGGAGGCAAGTTTCTCACAGGAAGTTCCTAAAATGTTATAAGTGTGTACACAAGTGAGGGGCATTCAGAAAACATGTTGTATGAACACTGCATATCATGTTACCGCAGCACAAAGGCCTCTGACAGCCCTAAGTACATACACATTCTTACCACCGAGGCCCTATTACTCTTTCACTGGGCTATTTTCTTCAAGGCATTCACCACAAGTTATATACTTATTTGTTCAAGCGCCTTATAAGTCCTGGAGCCAGAGTCCAGTCTCCACATGGAGTTTCATTCAAACAAGTGTAATTCAAACAGCCAAAAATACTGTTTAAATGTACATTAGTCTTCAGCTGTCTCGTAGAAGGGAAAAGAGCATCAAAGGGGCTTCAAGTCACAATCCCAACAGGTCCCATAGGCTCATAACCCATTTTCTCTCTTCTTTAATTCTCCCAATCCTTATGTGGAGTGGTGCAGTCTTTTCATATATTTTGCTCCTAGGGTTCTCTCTCGAAATCCTTCCTGCCCGTTGTTTCATTTTGCATCACAAACATTCAGAACTGGCCTGAGAGATACAATTTCAGGGGTGGTGGTGGTGTTGAGAGGCAAAGTCTTCACCAGACAGGGGAGACTGGGAACATTTACACATTGATCATTTTGGTTCACCACTTGTTGACTCCAGATTATAAGTTTTATGAGGACAGGGACAGTATCTGTTCCATTTGCACCTAACACAAAATCTGACAAATGCATAGTCAATTTATACTTGTTTTCTAGGGGGGCGGGGGGGGAGTTCACTAACTGAGGTAAAGACAAGGAAATATATAGCACAGAGCAGGGACTCTTGGCCTAGAGAAGGTAGGGCACGGTGTGCAGGGAGTAGTGCTGGTTTAGGAGGGCCTCCTGGAGGAAGTGAGGCCAAAGCAGGATCTTAAAGGGCAAGAATTCACCAAAGAAGGAGGTGAGGGCAGAGAAGAGCATTCCGGGAGAAATGTGGCACAAGCACAAACGGCAAACAGCTTGGTGTGCTATTGCTAAATGAGGAGCAGAACTGTCAGGAGGTGAGGCTGGGGGGCCAGAGGTGGGCATGTCAGGCCTTGTTCGCCACACCAAGGAGGCAGGGCTTTGTCCTATGGGTGATGGAGCCAGTGGGTAGGGTGGGGAGTCATTCTCAGATTTTCATTTAGAGAAGTTACCGTGTGGCAGTGTGAGGCTGGATCTGAAAGAGGTGAAAGAAAAAAGTGGAATAATTGTGTAGCAAAAAAAATGTAGGCTGCAATAGGGTAGTTGTAGGCAGTAGGGATAAGTAGTTAGGAATGACTTTTAAAAGTTATCTGGGGGTCATACTGGCAGAACTGGGTAGGTGACTGGATAGGGACAGTGAGGGAGGAATCTAGAATAGCGTCCAAACTTCTCAGTTGGATGCTGATACCATCAAAGGGGGTAGAATACACAGGAGGAGTCAGAGGTTGGCAGTGCTGGGGAGAGTGGGAAGATTCCCAGTTCAGTTATGGTGACACTGACTTTAAAGTCCCTGTAGGACTTCTAAGTTTAGACGGTCAGCAGGTACTTGGCTATATGAGTCTGCAGCTTAAGCAAAGGCCAAGGTCAGAGATACAGACCAAGGAGGGAGCAGCACAGGGGTGGAAACTGAGTTCAAGTCAGCTGTGGGGTGCCCAGGAACAGCTGTCCTCAGGGTAGCATTTGGTCCTGTGGACATTCCTTTCCCACCTCCCTGTACTTCCCTTACCTTTGACCATTCCTTCTTCAAATGCTTTGCAGGCTCCTCTCGCTGGGCACATCTATCAGAGCTTTATCTCCAGCCCAGAATTCTTATGTAAGAGTAAGACCCACGTGTCCAACCACTTTCTAAGAGAAAAGAGGTAGTTGGCGGTGTGGACGGATTGCCACAAAAGGTTGGTGGCTCTCGGTCCTATTTACTTGCATCTAAGGTTGGCACTATGAATTGAACTTGGCTGTGACCATCTCTGAAAGCATCAAATTTGGAGATCAGGGGTTAGAATGTAGATCCGTTAATATGCATTAATATGTACCCCACCTCCCCACCCTACTTTAATCCTGCACATATCTTTCTCAAGGTTAACTCCCCTATTATGCCTAGTGTGTTGTTTTCTTTTCACCAGGAATTGCTATCAAACCAAACTGGAGATAAAAATTAAATCTTACTGATATAGATTAAAAATGATTTCATATTACGAAAGAGGAAAAATAGTTTACATGGGTCTACTTCTTTAAAACAAAAATTACGACTCTTATTTTGTGGTAAAGGAGTGCTTTTTACTCTAGAATACCTTGTTCTGTGATCAGTGTTTCAATGAGGAAGGGACTCTGAACTCGTAAGCAAACCATGCCATGACGTATACTTTTATGTAGACAAGTTGGTTAAAACACAAAACCAGTATTTTGATAAATTCACTTTAAAATGTTTTTCACTTCAACTACTTAAAACTAGTTACAACAATATGAACTTCCACTCCCCAGGAGTACAGAGGGTGATCTTGGACTTGATGAGAAACACTGAAAACACACGGAGAGAATCACCTGTGTGGTCTAGAGAAGGGCTTCCTGAGTTTGTCCTGATGTGTTGACCATCCGCTGTACCAGAGTTCACCAGCAGCTACAGTGTAGTTCTTGAGTATATTTCTATTGGGAACCTACTTCTTTGAATTTAATCCTTTGGGATGAGTCTTTAGCATCTTGAAAATTTCACAGAAGAGATTAAGGAAGTTTCAGTTACTCCAGAAGCCGCTGGTATAAATCATGCTTCTTCTATTGGTTAGCTGTTCAGAAGTTGTAAGGTGCATGGCCACTGCCCGAATGAGCTGTGCTGCGTGGCCCTCAGCCCATGGCATCTGTCCTAGCAGGATCAAGGAGGCCAGGTCAAGTGTGAGTAATGCTCAGCTGCACAACAGTGAATCAGGGCTCAGGCAAGTTGGGTATTTTTTGTAAACCTCCAGCTTATCAAGAGTCAGAAGGACTCATCTCAACTTGTACACACCCCCTCAGATCCAAACGGATAGATGCATTAGAAGATAATAATTTTTTCAGAGTACTCAGGACTTTGACAAGAAAAGTCACAAGTTTATATAAATGCCCACTTTCATACCAATTTATGGATTCAAAATTTTCTCAAAAAGAACAGGAGATACTGTTTTTAGCAATCAGTTTTGGATGGGAGTGCTTCTGACACTCATAGGAAATTGTAATGGTGTCTTCCCTAGGTTTTAAATTCCTCTTATCCATTTATGACACTTTCTCCATCATATACTAAATTCTGCCCATCCTAACATTAATGTCCTATTATTACCAAAATATCTTTAAATTATTTGCGTACATACACATATATACATTAAGCTAAACCCTATCGAACTCTTAATATTTGACTGTTTTTGATCTATGAAAACAGTTTTTCATATGGCTGAACCTAATAACATCTGGACTTTGGTTGGATGTTTATATTTCCTTACATACATGCTATGTTGTAGTTCCTTCTGTACTTTAGCAGGAAGAATGAAGATACTCTCGTCACCAGTTCTCATGCAGCCTTGCAAAATTGTGTCTGCTGACTACTGGTGAATTTCATGAAAATATTTAGAGATATAGTAATTTAGTATCTGACCAAAAAAAAAAATCTGTTCCAATTGGACATACTGTCCTTGTAAGTGCACCACCCCTCTGCTGATCTGGAACAACCTACCCCCAAAAATGGCTTCTGCAGGTGTATAGTCAAGACTAGAACCAGTGGAACAAAAATACCAATGCGTTTTCAATTGGGAATTCCACATCAGTGTCCTCAATAACACTGAACACAGAGTGCCTACCCTGAGACCCCATCTAAGCACCAGTAAAAGAACTTGCCCCAGAACGTGCTTTTAAGAAACTCACCATCTTTCAAGAGATAGAAAAATATAAATAACAAGAGGATATCCTAAGCACTTTAAGCTTCAAACTGGGACAGGGTGAAATGTAAAAAGAAGACAGCACTTAGGAAGTTTTAAACTGACTTCAAACACTAAGGGCAAAAAGCCAAGTACAAATGTGTACTGAGTTGAAATTCAGTCCCCGTGCTCACCAAAGGCTTCCTCCACGCTTCTGGACCAAAGAAGTCCCTTTTCCACCCCAGAAATAGCGACTAGAGATCCTCCAGGTCAGTCAGATCCACGGCCACTTTCAAGAACATGGTGTCGTCCTTAATGTAGGTGTTCTTGGCGTTCTCCAAGGTGGAGTGAGCCACGAAGCGCGGACAGCCGGAGGCAATGTTCATCTCCCCGTCGGGCCTTTTAAAGCTGCTGCTGTTGGGATCGGCCTTGAAGGTCTCCGTGATGTGGTTCTTCTTGCCGCTCTGGTCCAAAAGCATCAGGGTGACCCTCTGCCTGAACGGCCACTGCAACAGGGAGTCGAACTCCCCCCGCATCACCACGAAGTACAGCGACAGGTGCGTCCCCTTGCCGGCCCCGTCCCCGTTCAGGTAGGCCCTGGCGCACAGCCGGTAGCCGCAGCGGCTGGTGTAGAAGGGCTGGCTGAAGACCGACACCGTGTGCCCGTCCTGCGCCTCCTTTTTCTTCGCCCTGTAGTCGGTCACCTTCCAGATGAGCTTCCCATTGTAGCAGGCACCTTCCAGCAGCTTAAACCGCTCTTCGTTTTTATTCAGCTGCGCTTTGTGAATGTTGATGTGGGCATCGTGCTTGCTCGTCTCGCCTTCCAAAACAACTGCAAAGAGAAACAGACACTGTAGGCCTGGGCTGTCTTTACAGTTTGCCCAAGCTGCAATTTTGTTACCCGCAAACAAGCAACACAACTCTGACATCCTAAAGGAGAAGTGACTTCAGTGTCCACCAATGGGCCACTCGTGCTGATGACATCAGCTCGGTGAATCTCGTGTCGTGGCGAGAGTGGCACCAAGCACACTCGAATGCGCCCTCCAGCTGAGGCTCGCCCGCGTGAAGGGACGACACACGCTCAGCATTCAGCTAAGGTGTGCTGGGGGGGACCCACGGGTTTCAACCCGGATGCTTTTAAACAGCCACAGCCTTTTGCATCTCTCTGCACACGCAGACCTTGCTTTACTGCAACTTTTTTTGTTGTGCTTTGCAAGGCATTGCTGTCGTTACAAACAGAAGGTCTGTGGCTACCCTGTGGTGAGCAAGTCTATTGGCACCATCTTCTCAGCAGCATTTGCTCCCTGCTGGTGTCTGTGTCGCATTTTGGGAATTCTCGCAAGATTTCAAACTTTTTCACTGCATTTGTTGTGGTGATCTGTGATCAGTGATCTTTGATGTTACTAGGGCAAGACCCTCCACCAGCAAAAAGATTCCGACTCACTGAAGGCTCACGTGATGGTTAGCAGTTCTTAGCGATACAGTACTCTTTAGTGAAGGCATGTACATCGTTTTTTTTTTCAGACAACTCCATTGCACACTTAATAGACTGCAGTAGAGTGTAAATATAATCTTTATATGCACTGGGAAACCAAAAAAATCTGTGACCCACTTTATTGTGATATTTGCTTCATTGCAGCGGTCTGGAAGCAAACCCACAATATCTCTGAGGGATGCTTCCACTTAAAACAGTGTTCCCGCCACATCTCTTTCTTAGGTTTCTCATTATTTCCCACTCTCAGTTAAAAACCGTCATTCCGTTGTTCCTGGAATTGCCTGGTCTTCTTCCACCCATTGCCTCTTCCGGCCCCCGTTCATGGCTCTTCATAGTTTTTGCCTGAGTAGCCAGAATATCATGCTCCTCTGTTTCACAGCCACCAGGTTCGACCATAGTTTATCCTGGACAGCTGTGACTCTCCACCTGGCCAGGTATTGGCTTGTTTCACAAACACATGCAGACATACGAGTCACCAGAAGGGAATACAAAATATTAGACATACCTAATCTCTGATCGCTGCTTTCTAGCAGGGCAATTTTCTGTTTCACTGTATCAATTGCTTCCACCAAAGGCCTCAGGTCAAATTTATTTTGCTGCTGGTTTGCCACTTGTAATAACTGACGCACTTGAGCTTCTAGCCAAGCCGACTTGTCAATGTGACTGGCAAGAACCTTTCAGTACAAAATGGATATTAATATCTTAGCAAATGAATACCTTATCTTAGTAATTCATTGAGATTACATTTTTCAACTCAGACATTTCACATTTAATTAATCAACTAGTGAAATGAAAACTACACAGTCCACAACAGAAAGTTCAACAAGGGCGCAGAGAGATCAGTCACCTGTACCTTCCCCCTCCTCTCTATCCCAGGTCCTGCACCAAAGCTTTGAACTTCTCCGCCTGATTTTTACTCCCCTCTCAGTCTCTGTCCACTTGGTTCTCCAACCTAGCTTTAGATCTATCTCTGTTCTCGGGTTGTCTCTCCTCTTACCTTATCGCTGCCTTCTCCTCTTCGAAGCTACTCTCCTGATTCACTTCTGCTCTGCTAGAAGGCAGAGAATGAACTGGAAGTCAGCCCACCTGTTCTGGCCTGAGCACGACAGGTGGAACACAAGTGCCCTAAGATGAGGCCTGGACTTCCAATTGCTCTCTTTAGATGAAGGATATTAAATAAAACTACAACTATGTTTCTCCTCCACCCTGCCCTCACTGCCTTAATTCTGACTGCTCACTGTGTTAGAAAAAGATCAGAATTGAGAGAGTAACTTATAACGCATTTCCCTTTCTCTAAACACGTGTGTGTGTGTGTGCGTGTGCACATACACACACACACACACATGTAGTATGCTGACAAAGTATGCAAACTATATGGCTTGCATCATCTCGGATCCAAATTGCAAAAATATTGCCCACACCACATATCTTGAAATCTTTTTTAGTATGAATTTTATAATCATAATAAAGACATTATACATTAAGAATCTGTTTATGGTATTTCATGATTTGCAAATAATTTTTGCTATATTTGAGAGGCGTTTAAAGCATTTTCTTCCCAAGGGAATTAATAGTTTCCCTCAATTGAACTTCCCTCCACCTGATTTGCAGAACTATAGATGTCCTCAGTGGCTCTGAACTCAAGTGACTAATATTGGCCCAAAGTTAATGAAAACCCTAACTGCCAGAAATGATACAAAAGCATTGTACCCATGTTAAATTTATGGATATTGCTAAATGTACTAGGGTTGTGTAAAAGGAGATCTTTATTCTCGCAAAACACATCCTGAAGTATGTAGGGGTAAAACGCCGTACTATATGTGACTTATTCTCAAATGGTGCAGAAAGCTCAAAGGGGGAGAGAGATGAATGAATGGATACGAATGATGAAGCCAAAGGGACAATGTACTGACAACGGGTGAGTGTGGCTGGAGAACATACAGGAGCTCTCTGCACTATCTTTTTCTAGCAGCTTTTCTGTACATTTGAAGTTATTTCCATTTAAAAACTTATAAGAGAAACCCTCACTGCAAATTAACTGAAGGCTAAATCTTGGCTATGAACAGAAAGGTCATTTCTCACCTGGATGTTTGAAAGGAAGCTTCCATTTTTGCCGAATAGCTGCGCGACCTGCTTAAACTCCTTTTCGAATTTCTTTACAGTTTCCGCTAGCTCCTGGATTTTACTTTCTTTCCGTTCTAGGCTCTTATATAAGTCGGAAATCTAATAACAGGAATGTGAATGAGATCATTTAAAGGCACTCAAACAAATTAAAATAAATGTAGTTCTAGGAAAATTTTGTAGGTAAGAAAGTGTTTCTAGGAAAACTGTATATATATTATATATCACATATATATATTTCTAGGAAAATATTTACAAGTAGATTTCTATATAACGCTAGGAAAATAGTTGCAGGTGCTCTGAAAGACACCTGATCCCCAGGTTTCTCGTCAGCCTTTTCTAACCCGCTAAGATGGTTCATCTAATGATAGTGACATCACTTGGCTGAATTTACTGAACTGGTTCACTTCATTCACTCCGTAGGTACTTGTTAAACAACCCCAGTGCTGATCACCATACCACCTTAGATGTCACGTGCATAGTACTGACAGTAATAGCTGAAATTTGCTGAATGTCTACCATACCCTTATAACTCATCACCTCTTTTATTCTCAAAGGACCCTGTGAGTTGGGTATGAATATCAGTCCCATTTTACAGATGATGAAACAAAGGCAGAGAATTTAAGTAATCTGCCCAGCATAGAGCTAGCCAGGGGTAGGCAAAATGTGCCACTCTCTCAGAATTTGTAATCTATTTGAAAGAAAGAACCAAAAATCTAAGAGTGACCCTAGACAACTCTTCTCTCATCCTCACACCCACTCATTCAGCAATACTTGCCAGCCTTAACTCCTAACACACCACAAAACAAAACAACTCTTACATCCATTTCTCATTTCATCTCATCTTGGTTCATACTCATTTCAACCTTCCTAACTTCCCTCCTGGACAGTTACAACAGCGCCCAACCGGTCCTACACTCTCCCTCACACATGTACCAGAAAGGAAGCCTTACGGGAGTGGGGGCTGGCATGGATCCCACAGGCCCCTGCAACCCCAGCAGCTGGCCTGGCGCCTGGCACCAGTAGGTGCTTGATAAATATTTGTTGAACGAATGAATGCTCTCCTTGTCTTTAGTTTTCTTTTCCTCCAATGCATACTCCATACGGTGTCCACAATACTGTGAAGAGACAGATCTGGTCTTGTCACCCCCACTTACCTATTTCTAGTGGCCTTTTACAGGCCATCCAAGGCCCTACAGGTCTGGGCCTCGTGCCCACTCAGGTTTCACATGGGCGCTGCCCAGTGCGACTACATAACTTCTATTTCCCATCAGGCCTTGCTCTCTGACGCTGCCCCTTCCGTCTAGAAAGTACTGCTTCCTAAGCCTCCGCTCAAGAGCACATCTTCTCGGAACTATATTTCCTCACTACGACCACCTACCTAGGCCACTCTCAAGTTCCATGGCACCCGGATCATAATCTAGTGTATAACTTACCCTCATTGCTCTTACTGCCTTTTTTTTTTTTGGGTTAGTGAAGTCCTTTTTTCCTTCACTAAATTATTGAGGCTACATCTCATTTCTTTACTCCCAAAGCCTCACACAGTGCCTGGCNATTTCTTTACCCCCAAAGCCTCACACAGTGCCTGGCACACAGAGGACATCTGATACATGTTTTATGAGTGAATGCACAAAGAGTTTGCAACAACCATCTGATCTCTGACCCAGGGTCCTCTATTAGGACTCCTAGAGCTGACTTCCACCTACGTGCCAGACATATCTCCCTGAACAAAGGCAAACTCAGGAGTCTCCCAATCCTCACATCTAACCTGTTCCTGAACATTACCATGTCCCTTGCCTTCTAAGCTCACAGCATCCCAGTCCANTGCCCCAGACATATCTCCCTGAACAAACGCAAACTCAGGAGTCTCCCAATCCTCACATCTAACCTGTTCTGAACATTACCATGTCCCTTGCCTTCTAAGCTCACAGCATCCCAGTCCAATCTCCGAATGTTTCCCAATGCCCTCTTTCCATCCCCACTGATGCAGCCTTGGGTGATCCATGACCATGACCATGACCATGACCATGACCACGACCACGACCATGACCATGACCATGACCATCACCTGCTCCAGCATCTTGCCTCCACCTAATATTGAAATGCTTAAATTCCACACACTGTGCTAAGAGCTTAAATATGCTTTCTCATTTAACCCTCACCACAACCCCATTTTACAAACGAGGAAACTGGGGAAGAGACAAGTTAAGCAGCATCCCCAAACTCACATGACTGGTGTGGAGCCAGTCCTGGAACCCAGGCACTCTGGCACCAGACCCCTTGCTCATCAGTTTCCAAGCTCTACTGCTGCACTGTCTAGTTCATTGCAATGTCCTTCTGCCTGGTCCTGCTGTTCCTCTTCCTCTCCTCTCCCTCTCCCCATCTTTCATGCTACCGCCTGCTGTCTTACTCTCTAAAACCAAACAGACAATTAGCCAGCCAAGTATGTTTTCAATTTAAAAGCCTCCATTAGCTCCCTATTATTGATAAGCATTAGTTCAAGTTTTTAGCCCTTAAATCCTTTTTGATATAAGACAGAATATTAATGAATAAAAAATAATTGAATGCACAGTGTTAAAAAATATCTTAGCTTACATGGAAGGCCATTGCAATCTGGATCCAACAGACCAGACTCCAACCATTCCCCGTCTCACACTCGGTGTCTCTCCACCCCATAAGCACATTTCCTTGAACCATCGGCCTCTCTCTTGCTTCCCCGCCGTGGCGNTGTCTCACACTCGGTGTCTCTCCACCCCATGAGCACATTTCCTTGAACCATCGGCCTCTCTCTTGCTTCCCCGCCGTGGTGCAAACTTCTCCTTCTGGAATGTCCTCTTTCCACAACATTTTAACCGACAGACCTCCTCTTCCTTCAACTGATTGAGCCCAGACACGGGGTACCCTCACAGCATGTCCCGTGAGGCACAGCAACATACCTGTTTATATTTTTTTGAGTTCTGCAAGGATAAAGGCTGCGCCTCCCTCAACTCAGTGTCCCTAGCAACTAACACTGAACCTGACAGATGGGAGGTCTGTTCAATGAGCAAATGGATGAATGAAGCAATGGTACAGAAAGAACTTGGGAATGGCTACTAGGCAGCATGGCTTCTACCAAAGTTACAGTTTAATCAGTCTTTCTAATGTTCTCCAGGATCTGACCCTAGAACTCGCACACCATTTTAATCTGGNCTTTAATCTGGAGTCACACATCATAAAATAATCTGAGGTAGAAAATTCCAGCTCCCTGTCTGCAGATGGATGGTTTTCTTCCCTATGAGGGCTTGAAAAGTCTGATCCTCTGAGATGTTCTAACAAAACAACTTTTATAATAATTACTCAATAAAATCAGCATTTGCGCACATACTTTCACTTGATAACTGCAACTCAGTGAAATAAATATGTACGTATGCATTTATCAGGTTGCAAAGCTTCTTCAAGGCAAGAGTTAGGACTTACTACAAAATATACAAAACCCATAGTGCCTAGAACAGACTCTCAACTGTTGTTTCATGGTAATATAAATTTAATTTTAACACATCAGACATCTACTAAGCACCNTATCAGACACCTATAAGCACCTAGTAGGTGCCAGTTATTATTAACCAAATGGTGTGTGGAGAGGCTACAGACAAGCAGTATGGTATCTCATGGAGAGCACAGGACTNCATCAGACATCTACTAAGCACCTAGTAGGTGCCAGTTATTATTAACCAAATGGTGTGTGGAGAGGCTATAGACAAGCAGTATGGTATCTCATGGAGAGCACAGGACTATGGGGACATGGGTTGGAGATCGAATCCTGACAGAAGCCACAAACACATCAAAATCTCCTTGAGTGTAATTACTTCCCCTGTTGAATGAGGATCTCAAAGGCATCTTCCACTTCTAATAGTCTATGGTCCTATGACTCTGTCTGGCCACTTAGTAGAAAAAGACCTACCCCCAGTCGGCTTACACCGAAGCAGAATGCAGAGAACTGCAGATCCCAGCAGCTCTGCCGCCTCCCTTTTGACCTGACCCCTTGAATACTTACTTACCTGCTCTTCTAATTGGAAGTTCTTTTCTAAGACGAGAAGCATGTGGTCCCGCAAGGCTGAGTGCTCATGCTGCTGTAGGCTCCCCCGTTTACCCTTCGGTATGAAGAGAAAAATATGTCAGGTTGTTGAAAGTCTCCCCAAACGAGCATGGTGGTGAGATACTACACCGAAGCAGAACTCTAGTCTCTGCTTATTTGTCTCAAGGTGGGTTACAGAAAAAATAGCCCCGCCCGTTCCCTTTTCCAAGATTCTACAGTACCCATGAGACAATTTTAAACTCATAGAGACAGAGAATCAGTCCACTATCAAAATTCTCAACACTGATTTCCTTCCTTGCCCTGGGAATAATATATGACTGTGGGTTAAATGTGGTTATTACCATCTTTCAGCTATTCCCATATAAAACCTGTCTCCCAGGTGAATTAGCTCCAGATCAGTTCTAAGCCTAGGTTAGTTCTCCCTCTGACCAAGCACATTTCGATTCTTCTATCACTGCCCTGCTATCACAGGCCAAAGGTATGCAACCTAATTGTAATCCCAGCCCAAGCAAATTTCCTGCCCTCACAATCATTGCAAAGTGCCTAAATTACTAATAAAAACAAACTTTAGGGATTCTGAGTGATCCATGGATTCTAAGCAAACATGTGTCATCAATTTCCCTTCTGTTTAGGGCTGGTCCCTTGTCCAGGGAGTAACTCCCTTCCCCAGCTCTGGTACTGATTAAGTTCTGGAACACAACCCAAGTGGAAGTTTGGGCCTAACTATAAAAAAGTTCCCTTTCAGAGCTAGAAAGCAAGTTTGTATTTCATGCACTAAAAAGGTAAGCCCCCTACCCTTTTTAGAGCAAAGACAAATAAATATTCAGCAGACACATGTATATATTTATATATGCAAACATAAATATATAAGTATAAATACACATTTACTTATATATTATATATGTTACATATCTCCTGCTGGTTCCATGTCTCTGGTGAACCCTGACCAATACAATTGCCAGCCATAAAATTCTCATAAGTGAATGTCCTTTTGCATCCCAGATGGAATCAGGGTACAAGGAACTCACCCAGTGAATTACACAGTAGAATGTAGAGGCAGAAACAAAAAGGCACTCCATACCTTCACAGGACAGCCATAGTGCTTGAAAGGACAGTCTTGTTCCGTTTCAGGACACATGGCAAGGTGTTCGTTCACCTATGAAATGGACAGCCTCATGCTACAGAAAGTCATCAGCAACTCGCCCCCTGTCCGGTGTGACTGCAGCAAGCAGGGAGCCAAGGCTGGCTTGGGGAGAGGGGCAGGCACAGGAGAAGGAAAAGGCCACGCTAAGGCCCGGTGGAGGGAGCGCTATGGCGAAAACAGAGGCCAATTCTCAGGGAAAAGGGAAGGGCAGACAGAGACTCGGTTATCATGGGTGTCACGTAAGCCTCGGGCCTTTGCCTAGGCGATTTTGTCAGACACACAGCATCATGATTGCTAAAACTTTATCTTACGTAAGGTCTACTGAGAGAATTATTTATAGTTACCTCAGTTCTGGGAATAATCTGCAGGCACTTGTTGGGACAAGAGACGGGGTACTCGGGACACAAGTTTTGCTCATGATTCTGAAACGGAAAAAAATGTGATAAAACAAAACTGCCTTGCTCTCAAGGGTTCCCTTTTATGCCTGCAGTGTTTATGCATATGTCTCTTTGGGGATCTATTTATGCGGCTTACCATCTACAGGAAGGTATGGCCTAGTTCCAGAACGGATTATATATAGATGGCCGCTTTCTTAGTATAAAGGAATTCAACTCCATTCAATTTTCCAATTACTCCAAAAGAAAGTCAGAGGGCACAGGACTCATAGAGGGCAGACTGCGGGAGTCATCAGTATGGCTCCTTTGGCACAGGTAAGAGGTGTCCATGCTCTCGTTTTAGGCCCACATCCAACCTCTCGGGTCAGATCACAGCATCCCGAGGACGGACACTATCGCCACCTCCTGTGACCCAGCACTAGCATCACTCCTTGCACACACCCTCAGCAGGTGCTCAAACAGTATTTTTGCCAAGAATAAACGAATACGGTCCGACCGACAAGAAGGCTTTTTATCTTTTACAGAACTTCTCTCACACATTTATTCTTTAGACCTAGTATTTCTGTACAAGAATGCATCCAGAAAGGTGCTTCCAGTAGCCCACCTGGTTCACTCTGATCGCTCAAGCAGAATTTAGCCCCATAAAAGTGATGAATCTTGTTTTGTGTGTTTTTTTACCTGTAGATCGATTACTACCACATCCTTTTTGCAATAAAGGCATTTTTCCTCTCGAAACTGGCAGTCTGCGCTCAAGTGCTCTTTCAGATCTTTCCGAAGGACAGGTTGACGGCAGCTCTCATTGGAACACTGCACAGTTTGAAATAGGCACTGCTGCAGGTGGTCCTGCAACGCAAAACAGGGGGGCTGGAAGGGAGGCGCCCGGAAGGCCCAGTGAGAGGCCAGGGGCCTCTCAGCACCTGCGGGGCGGGAAGGGCAACGCGCCTTCGGGCCCTGGGCGGAGGCCACCCGCCTCTGCTGAGCACAGGCTTGCTGGGACCCGGGCTGCGAAAGCCAGCCTTGCCTCGTGGGAGTCAGGAGGACGGGGGAACATGGTAAGGAAAGAGGCATACGAGTTTTTTTTCGATTTTCTAGGAACCGGCTCATAGTCTCAGGTTGGTTCTTGGATATTTCCTTAGGCTTGCCAGTGAATTTCCCAGATCTTCCAGGACAGTTTTTACTTCTTTTGGGCACTCTTTATCCCCACCCCAGCACCAAGTCCTGACCTGCAGGTGGTAAAGGCCAGCAGGACAGAGGGGAAAGAGGGAAGAAAATATGGGATTATAGGAAGAAAAGGGAAGGAGAGGAAGCCGGCCCAGAAGTGGTCATGAAAAGGAGGCAGAGGGAATACAGGATCCCAGACCCAAGGGGAGCTGAGAAGGGCCAGTCTTGTAAGGTCAGGAAATGTTTTCAACTAGAATATAAGAGGACAGTGATATAAATAGTGTTCATTCCAGTTGTCTTCACATTAGAGATTTATGGAAACAGGCATATTTTAAGAGCACCTTTGAATGACTATAAGTTACTGTGATTCTGACAAGTTATCAAAATCCTAACAAGCCTGTCTCCCCAAAAAATCCTTTCAAACAGGGCTGGCAAGCTATGGCCCTTGGGCCAACCTGGCCTGCTACTTGCTTTTGTAAATAAAGTTTGACTGGAATAGAGCCACATACCTAGTTGTTCTCATATGGTCTGTGGCTGGTTTCCCTCTAAGATGGGAAAGTTGAGCAGTTGTGACAGAGACTGTGTGGCCTACAGAGTCTAAAATATTTACTGTCTGGTTCTTGACAGAAACAATTTGCTGACCCCTTCTCTGAAGGAGAAAAAGAGCATAGAGTTTTTCTATAGGAGATAAAGAAATATACCTATTTTCTTTTGCCTCTGCTAGTAAAAAACAAATGGTAATGACAGCTGAAATCCACATCTTATCCAAATTCATTGATATTACCCTCAACTCACCCAAACAGTCAGCATTCATCTAGATTCTGCTACCTGTGAGATCCCACACCCTATCAGGCGAAGTGAGGAGAGCACTGAATGAAGGGAAAGAAAGAGGTGGAAAGAAATCAGCCAGTCCTCGAGAAGCTGATGATCTGGTCACAAAGCCTGATCAACGGTCCATTTGAGCCTTGTTTCCTTTTCAGGCTTAGAGACGACACAAGCAAGTTGGAAAAGAGACCCTGCTCTGGGACAGGCGGCTGGGGACTGTCACAGGAAAACCCGGCAAAGTTCCCTGAAGCTCCAAAGAACTCCCTGGGTTGACAGGAAATCATTTGCACATTTATAAGCTCGGTGCCTGGGGGGTTTTGGAGGAGTGACGGAGAAAAGAGTCGCCTGAAATGTATTCTAAAATGCGTGGGTAGGAGTGGAAAATTCAGCAGCCTCCAGGCAATTTCCTGAAGCTTGAGATGCCTGAGCCTCATTCACCCGTAGTGTGGTCAAGCCTGATACCGGCCTGCCTGCCATGGCAGAACCACATTTTCAGCCCGAATTTTAACAAACTTCCTGCTGGAGAGAAGAGTGGGTAGGACAGTTTCACTGGAGAGGAAGCTGACTCCCCTTCGTCTCCCTTATACCTTTTTGTTTGCATCTCATAACGATGCTTCACCTTTAAACTCCATTCTATCTCTGTTCTGACCTGTTTTCTGCCTTAGATCACAAACTGTAAGAGGCCAAGGCCCACGGCTGCTGGGCCCACCTACCCTGGCCTCTGCGAATGCTTTTGGGCAGTCATATCCCGACTCCTGCCCCAGGGACCCCAAATCCTTCCCCCCAAATAACATGTCCTTGCTTAAGTGTTCCTTTTGCCCACCATGTCTCATATCTTCACTTTTGGATCCATGCCTCTAACTCACAGTTTAAGGTCTAGTACAGGGAGCTTGTCTTCCGAGCCTTCCAGATGGAACAAATCTCTTCACTCACACCATAGCCCTAGGTGTGCTGTGCTGCAGAATTTCTAGATGGGAATTCTCTGAGGGCAACCCAATGACCACCCAGCCCCAGGCTTAGCTCAGTAACTATCACAAAAAGGTGTTCAATGCACGTCACTGGGAATTGGCAAAGGTAAATATTGTTTGTGAGTAATACTAACCTGGAATCGTCCCAGAATAATCTTGGCATTACACTCAGGAGCATTTTTGCAATATACATATAAATTGAGGACTTCCCTTTTGCAGCAATTGTCTTTAAACACCTAAAAGATAAACATGATAGGTCTCACACCAACGCTTTAGAACAGCATGATTCATTATTAATGTGGTCGTCAAGTACATCACAGAAGTCAGGTGAAACCTTCCAGACCAGTGGTTGGCATGGAAATACCAGATTCACCACCATAAAAGGAAAAGCTGTCTCCGATACATACTTCTGACAGGTCACTAAACATACAAGCCAGGTCATTCAACGCGCAGCACAGCAGGCTGCAGCTAGGAGAATCTCATGGTGACCTTGACCCCACATGCTCAGAGGTCAGGAGGTGGGGCTGTGGCTGAGGGTGATGCTTTCAGCTTCCTGTCCCAGCAGAAGGGTTTGTACTAGTTATCAGGTAGTGTCACTGAAGCTATGCTGACTTACTATTTCAGCACAAACCAGGGGTTGGCAAACTTTCTCTGTAAAGGATCAGATGTAAATATTTTCATCTTTGCGGACCACACTGCAATGGTCATTGCTGCAACTATTCAACTCCACCATCTACAATACTAAAATGAGTGGGCGTAGCTATGTTCCAATAAAACGTTATGTATGAATACTGCAAGGTAATTTTCACATGTCGCAAAACATTATGCTTATTTTTATTTTAAATTTTTAAATTTTTAAATTTTGGAATAGTTTAAGACTCATAAGAAGTTACAAAAATAGTACAGACTTCCTGTGTGCCCTTCCTCTGATTTTTCCCAATGATTTAAAAATATAAAAACTGCTCTTAGCTCACAGGCCATACAAAAACAGGTGGCAGGCTGGACATGTCCCAAAAAATCCCGTGTTGCAGTATGCCAACCCCTGGCCTACTGGGCGAGGCAGGCACAAGTATAGCTCTGTCCTCTGCTGGGCATCAGAAGGCATCACAAGAGCACAGAGAAGGAGCATGTGTGTCAGGTGTTCAGGGGGCTTCCTGGTGGGGGTGATGCTAGAATGTCCCATAACAGAGTTTTAAAGGAAGAGAACAGAGCTTAAAAGGATATTTTAATGGAGAAAAATCTTCACGACCATGGCTTAGGTAAGGGTTTCTCAGATACAACACTAAAAGCACAGGCGACCAGACAAACAAATATAAAGAAGGCTTCATCAAAATGAAAAATGTTTATGCTTCAAAGGAAAGAGAAAAGACAAAATGGGAGAAAAATATTTGCAAGTCATGTGTCTGATGAGAGACTTGTATCCAGAATATATAAAGAACTCTTAGAACTCAACAAGAGACAAATAATCCACTGAGCAAATGAGCGAGGGAGTTGAATAGGCATTTTTACAAAGAACATATACAAATGGCCAAGCCCATGAAAAGACGCTCAATACCGTTAATCATTACAGAAATGCAAATCAAAGCCACAAGATACTTCTTCATACCCACGAGGAAGGCTATAATAAAAAAAGGTGGACAGTCCGGCCAGGCGTGGCTCAGGGGTTGAGCACCGACCTAGGATCCAGGCGATCGGGGTTCAATTCCCGGTCAGGGCACTTGCCCGGGTTGCGGGTTCGATCAATGACTCTCTCATCATTGATGTTTCTCTCTCTCTCTCCCTCTCCCATCCTCTCTCTGAAATAAATAAAGATATTTAAAAAAAAGATGGACAATAGCAAATTCTGGCAAGGATCAGGGGAAATCAGACTCTCATACACGGTTGGCGGGAGGCAAAATGGTGCAGCTGCTTTGGAAACTAGCCTGGCAGGTCCTCAGTATGTTAAGCATGGAGCTACCATATGACCCAGTAATTCCACCCCTACTATAACCCAAGAAACATGTATACTTTCAAAGTAAATTTTGTGACATATGAATTATATCTTGATAAGGTCGTTGTCAGACATAACAACAAAAGGAAGTATTAGCGATTAACCAGATAAGAAAGTGAATTCCTGGAAACAGGATATTTTCATTTCTCCAAGTGACTCGATCTGGCTGGAGCGAGTGTAGGAAGAGCGTAAGGAAGCAGCAGGAAGGGAAACGTGGCGAGCCAGTAAGGACCCAAACAAGCCTCCCTCGAGCAGGTCACAGTCAGGGGTGTGACCCGACCCCTAGGCAGAGGAACGTGGACTCCAGGAAGGTCCATCCTCCTGTCCTCCTGCTCCAGCCTCGATGTCCAATCAAGACACTGGCTTCTCTGTCAACTAGAGAGCTGCTAACTCAAAGCAGTGATTTTCTTACCTCGTGAGGTTTGATAACCTCTTTATCTACAGGGCAGAGTGGAACTGCATTTAATTCTCTGGAGAGAAAAATAAAAATGGAGCAGGAATTAAGAGGTGACCTCGACAGCTCTTCCTGGAGCAGCCCCAGCCCTCCAGCCATGCTCCACCCTCTGAAGTCCCCCAGAGTCGGCCAGGCCCTGTCTCTACTCATGCTATTGCCTTCTCCCAGAAGGCCCCCCTGCACCCCAATTTCAGCACCTCTCCAGTCAGCCTGAAAAACTCCCATTCATCCCCCAGGACACAAGTGAAATAGTGAGTCCCCCAGACTCACTGAATGCCCTCTCCAGGGCTCCCTCCGCAGTCCTTTGCTTATCACACTGGACCACAACCGGTCTGCTTCTCTGGAACATTCCAGAAGGCAGAGACTGGGTCCTGTTCCACAAGGGCCCTCTAGCTCTTCAACTCTGGACGCTAGAGCTTAGTTTAGCACGGTGCCTGGAACACACAGGCACTGAGTGAACGAACCCATGCATGAGCGGGTATGTGCTGTAATGACCCCCTTTCTAAGCTGGGCAGGACACAACTTCCTTACTGCCCCTACAAAGCCCCAAATGCCTGCTTTTATGTTTCTCCTGGTCTGCTTCCTCAATGTGGCATGATCCAGGTTTTACAGCCACCGAGGAGTGAACTGCACCGTGGCAGCGAGACTCCTTCTGGATGGGACACCACCACTGCCTTAAGGCAAGGAAGGGTCAGGGTGACTACAGGCCTTGGAGAAATATGGGTCCTTTCCAACACAGACTGTGCTGCTAGGTCTGCCTTCCCATGCAAAGCAGGTGTGGTCTGAATTTTAACCAAAGGTGAAAATCAGTAAGTGAGTGGCAAAAAATGAAGATTGCTCCTCAGGATCTGACAGAAGGGCCCTGGGAGAGCTCCTCCCCAGATTCGTAGTTCTGTCGCCAACCACAGCAATTCCAAAACCATGATTACAACTGAGTGGCCACACTTGACATTTAGATCCCAGGACAGGCCCCTGGGGTTCTGGCCTGCTGTGGCTGGAGGTCACCTACCCACTCACCTCAGGGACAGGATGCAGTGCTGGCAGAAGCGGTGTCCACAACCTGTCTGGTGGGGGTTGTGAAGCACTGAGTGGCAGAAGGCACATTTGTATCGCTCTTCTAACAGCTCCACAAACTGGTATTCGGAGTTGGGCTCAAAGTCCAAGGAAACAGAGTTGCTGGAATTCTGGCGGATGAAACCACAGGGGACGCCTGCTTGCTCCTCAGAATAAGCCATTCTGGGGGGTCAGGAGAACAGAAGGGAAATTAAGTGTGCACATATCGAAACAACTACAGACATTGGGAGTTTTAATTATTGAACATCGCCCACATGGTCACTCTGTTATGATCTTGTAACTACAGTGACAACCTCCTGCCACTGGGGGCTCCTGCAGAGGGGAGACATCTGGGGTGCTCGGGTGGGAGGCTGGACCAGATGTCTTCTAGCCAGATTCTAAGAGACTCAGCCCTATGACCAGCAACCTTTTTACAGGATGCTAAATTATTCTGTCAGTTCGGCCACATGCTTACACAAAATCTAGCCAGGAGTTAACTACATTCTAAGCAAACTCTTGTTACCAATTTTCTCCCATCCAGTTGAGAGAATTGAAACAAATGTTTTGCTAACATTTTTCAGAAGCAAGAACCACACACACCAATACATTGCTTGCAGTATACAGTAAGTCCACACATAACGCCATCAAAAGATTCTTGGAACTGCCACAAAACAAGGCATAACAAAGACAATTTTAACGTAGACCAATTGATATAAACAAGAGTTAGGTTCTCAAGGCATCTCATCAACATTATAATAAAACAATGTTGAGTAAAACTTATTCAAAGACTTGCTGTAAGTAGATAAAGCACCACAAACATAATTTCTCACCTGAGCTAAATAAGAACCCACTAATTGCTTTCCCTCCCAATCCCTTCTCCATACAGTATCCAGGGTGATATTTTCAAAATGCAAGTGTCTCCCCTCATCGTTCAGTGGTTTCCCAGGAGAAAAGCTATAAAGCTGAGCAGTCTACAGGAGTGCATCCCCCCCACCCAAAGGCATCCTGGACTTCTCGCTCCCTTGCTTCCTGCATTCTAGCCACAGGCTTGCTTTGAGTTCTTCTAATCCACCATGCTGTCTCCTGCCACAGGGCCTTTGCACAAGCTGTCGCTTCTGTCTAGAGTGTTTCCCCTATTTCTTTCCAATCCCCTTCACTTAATCAACTCACATTCATGCTTTAAGTTTCATTTCAAGCTTCATATTCTCAGGTAAGCTTGCTCTTCTCTCGCTGGCCTAACAACAGGAGGCCTACCCATCAGTCTGGAGAACATGCTTGGCCTCCAGGGAGTGGCTGGGGGATAGGGTGAGTGGGTGGGGGGTTTCACTGTATAATCCTTTTGAATTTTTTAAACATGAATACATTACTATTCAAAAATAAACAAACATATAAAAACAAAAACTAAACATCCACTGTTATACCGGTTATAAAACCAGGGTACTTTCCTTCATGGCAAGACGTGATTTGAAACTCGACATGTGACTGTGAGGTTGTTTGATTTGTGTCTGTGACCCTCAGTGACACACAGATGGCATCTGGTCTTGCTCACTGTTGCATCTCCAGCCCTTAGCACTGAGCCAGGCTTGGAGAACAACTCAGCTACTTTTTGAATTAATGTTATTAAGTGAACATTTTGAAAACCCTCGACAAAGCTGCTATAGTGACTTGACCTCTAACATAGTGGTTCTTAACCTTTTTTTGAGAAAGAACTTCCCCTTGCCTTTGAAAATCTGGTGAAAACTCGAGGCCTTCTCCCTGGACAATAACACACATGCCTGGCGTCCGGACATTCAGGGACCCTCTGGACGCACCAGGGCTCCCCAGGTTAACAACAGCCCTGCCTCCCCAGCAGGAATGCTGTTGCTTCTGGCACAGTGCCAGGAGCAGGGAGGTGTCTGGCAAATGGCTAATGGGTGGGGAGCCGTCTGGGGTGGTCTCTGGGGGGGATGTACTTGTACAAAGCCAGGGCACAGGAAGGCTTGGCCTCAGCCTTGCTTCCTTTGGCTCACTCTAGGGATTCCTCATGATTCCCTTGCAGCTGATGAGGTCAACTGGGCCAGGGAGCAGCTGCGTGGCTCACTCTGTAGGGCAGCCCCATTCAACCCAAACTTCTGCTCAAGCCAGCTGCTGGCCTCTCTCACTTCGGGAGGGGCCTGAGTCTGGGGTGTGGCCTGGGTGAGGGATGCAGAGGAAGCAACTGGCCTTTTTCGGCAAATAAAGCTTTCTCCCCGGAGGAGTCCAGAAGACCAGGGGATATATTATTTTTTGTCCTGGGGTTTGAGACTAAAGCCCCACCTTTCCTCTCTGCATGTGTTTTCTGAAGAACGTAGAGGGTGGTAGGTGATCAGTACAGATGTGATTGTTCCTCTTTTTAACATGGTTTACTCTTGAGATTTAACCTGTTAGTTACGAAGACCAACAGGCATAGCCCTGGAGTTACATGCACAACCCTAGTAACCAAGACCCGCCTTGCTCTGGGAGAAGTGCAAGACCAATTCCAAAGGGCCCCAATCTGCCCTGTGTTCTCTAGTCCCGAGGCAAGTTGACAGTTCATGACCTATGCCTCTCTGGGGTTCTCTCCTGAGACCAGGCTCACGACTGTGTCACACAGCATCTAAATTTGGACTCAGAGATGCACCCTAAAGCAGCAGAGTGGTCAGCCCCCAAGCAGCAGAGTGGTCAGCCCCCAGAACAAGGCTGTAGGATGTACAAAACTCAGTTCAGGTTCCCCTCCGTTACACTCTACCCTCTTTCCTACCACAAGAATTTAATGCACTCATCTGCGTGTCTGTCCGTCCACCTTTCTCTACAACAGCAGTTCTCAAACGTTTTGGTCTCGGCGCTCTCCTCCCCCCTTTAGACTCTTAATAATCGAGGAGCCAAAGACCCAGAATAGCCAGCTCCATAGTAAAGAAGTAGAAACAAAGTTGGAAGATTGACACTACCCAACTTTAAGACTTTCTATAAAGCTGTAATAATCAAGACAGCACGTGGTACTGGTAAAAGAACAGACAAGTAGATCACAGGAACAGAACAGAGCCCAGAAATAGACCCTTGTAAATATAGTCAACTGATGTCTGACCAAGGAGCAAAGGCAATACAATAGGCAAAGATAGACTTTTCACAAATGGTGCTGGAACAACTGTGAGTCCACCAAAAAAACGAGTCTAGACACAGACTTGACACCATTCACAAAAATTAACTCAAAACGGATCATAGACCTAAATGTAAAACGCAAAACTATTAAACTCCTAGAAAATAACACATGAGAAAAATCTAGATAAACTTGGGTTTGGCAAAGACTTTTTAGATACAACACCAAAGGCACAATCCATGAAAGAAAGAATTGATAGGCTGGACTTCATTAAAATTAAAAATTCTGTTCTGTGAAAGACACTGTCAAGAAAATGAGAGGATAGCCAGACTGGGAGAAAATATTTGCAAAAGATATATATGATAAAGAAATGTTACCCAAAATATACCTCCCCAAAGAAGGTATGCAGGTGGCAAATAAGCATACGAAAAGATGCTCCATATCATATATGGACATGCAAATTAAAACAACAATGAAGTACCACTAGACAGTGGCCAAAATTAGAATGGCCAAAATAAGAACACTGGCGAGGACCCGTAGCAACAGGGACTCTTTTACATTACTGGTAGAAACGTGATGCTCTGGCAGTCAGTTTGGCAGTTTCTTACAAAACTAAACATACTCTTACCATCTGATCCAGCAATCATACTCCTTGGTATTTACCCAAGAAGGCTGGAAACTTATGTCCACATAAGACCCGACATTTATTCATAAATGCCAAAATGCACAAGTGACCCATGTGTCCTTCAGTAGGTGAATGGATAAAGCGTAGGACATCCAGCCAATGCGATATTATTCAGCGCTGAAAAGAAATGAGCTATGAAGCCATGAAAAGACATAGTGGAACCCTGAATGCATATTACTAAGTGAAAGAAGCCAATCTGTAAAGACTCTAACTGCATAACTTTCTGGAAAAGGCAAAGCTATGGAAGCAGTAAAAAGATCAGTGGCTGCCAGGGCTTAGGACGGAGCGAGGCAGGGATGAGTAGGCGGATCACTAAGGATTTTTAGGGCAATGAAACTACTTTGTATGATAATATAATGATGGACACATGTCATTATACAATTTTCCAAACCCACAGTACAGTGATTTTCAACCTTTTTCATTTTGTGGCACACATAAACTAATTACTAAAATTCTGCGGCACACCAAAAAATACAGTTTTTGTAAATCTGACCAAAAAAGTAGGTACAATTTTGATTCATTTACACCAGATGGCTATTGTTGTGTTGTTGGCTGTTGTCATTTTTAATTTGACAATCTAAGGGGAAAGAGGTAAGTGCCCCTAACTAGTCAGGTGCTGCATGTTTTAAAACTTCTCATGGCACACAGGACACCTCTTGCTGCATACAAACTATGGACTTTGAGTGATGATGATGTGTCGAATGAAGGGTAGTGGAATCTGCCACCCCAAAATGCATCTGAAGAAGTTCAGGACATGCCACCCCAAAATATGCTGCATTGGTGTATAGATTATTTTGAATTGTAGGCACTTGAAAAATAGCATATTCAGCCCTGCCAAGTGTGGCTCAGCGGGTGAGCATCGACCTAGGATCCAGGAGATCCCGGCTCGATTCTCAATCAGGGCACATGCCTGGGTTGTGGGCTCGATCCCCAGCAGGGGGTGTGCAAGAGGCAGCCCATCAATGATGATTCTCTCTCATCATTGATGTTTCTGTCTCTCTCCTCCCTTCCTCTCTTTGAAATCAATAAAGACATTTTTTTTTTTAAATAGTAAATTCAGAAAGTGGGTTTCTCTGAACACCTTATCTTCCTAAAGATAGTTCCTCCAAAAAAAAAAAGGAACTCAGTTATCACAACTCTGCTTTCTGGAGTTTCATCAATCAGGAAAGAATGACTCATCAAAGAAGAAAAAACTAGCAGTTGACACCTAGACAAACTTTGTTACAAACTCTCATCTCCCATCTATTCTTTTAAGGTCCCACTCATCTTTCCTGAAAATCATTTACTCTCCCTCAAAAGGCAGAGTTGTG